GGTCTCCCAGCTTCACACCCAGCACTCTGTCTGTGTTTTCCTCTCCTGACCCTCCTCCCTGGAACTATCCAAGTCACCTGTGAGTCCTAACCCCCTGCTTCCCTGAAGTCTCCTGGCCAGGGTGCACCCGTTCCTTGGGGGCAGCACTGTGTTTGAAGGAGCTTGTACCTCCTCCTCCTGACTCCGAAGGAAGACAGGGTGCAGAGAACCCCAGTCCTAGGAGGACCTCCGGCAGGGTGAGGGGTGATAATCCACTCCTAATCGAGGCTGTAGAAGGCAGAACCCAAGAGTGCTGGGAGGATGTGGCTTTTGAGCTCTAAGGCATAGGGAAATTTAAATAACAGATGTTTCAACAACCTTCCCTGCAAGCCTCAGTGCAGTGACCCCTCTGCTGTGATGTGTTACAGCTTAAAAATAGCCCACAATGAACAGCTCTGAGCTCCAATTGACTCAAGCTTACGTAACTGCGTGAAAGATAGCCAGCCGCACCAGCCCAGAGGGAAGTAACAGCATAGCCATCCTGCCTGCTGCCACAGCTGGCTTAGGGGCTGGGGGCGAGCCCCTCACCCTCCCTGGAAGCAGACCCCCATCCAGGATCCCGTTAAGAGGTGCGGGCAAAGGCAGTGCTCCCAGAAACACATGGACGGCTGAGAAGAGACCGCCAACCAGGCTTGCAGAGGGGATGTGAGGAGAGCAGCCCTCCCTCAGGGTCCCTGAGAAACCCAAGCCCAGTAGGGGGGGAGGGGTATTTTAAGAACAGATGGCTGGGTCACAGAGACCAAGACAGGAGCCCATGTGGGCAGGGTTACTGGGGCTACCCAAAGGATTCCTTTCCCCCTTTTGAAGAGGGGGCTCCCCAGCTTGGGGGAACATGTCAGCAGGACTGATGCCTGGCTGAAACTGTCACTACCATGGAGCCCAGGGGAGAAGTTGACTCTTTTGGGACCTCTAAGTCTCCATGGTCCTGGCTGCCTAGGTGGGACTTGTGGCATGAGGGAGGGCACGCTGGCTTCAAAGCTGATTGAATTCTGTGATTTTGGCTACCAGCTGCTTTGAGTCCCCTGCCTTCCCTGATGCATTCCTAGATCCCAAGGGCCCTGTCCAAGACTACCCACATGTGTGCAGGTGGCTAAACCAATGTGAAAGGAAGCAGAGAGGAGAGGAGGTGAGGATGCCCCTGGCACTGGGAGGCTCTTTTGCTCCCTCTGCCCATGCTGAGCCTCAGAGGTTCAGCAACTTCCCTCAGCTCCCACCACCTGAGCTCGAAATAGGAACCACCGTGGGTCTGACCCCTGAGCTCCCACAGAGCAACAGTGAGACTGGTGAGGGCCAAATACAAGGGGCCCCTGCCATTTTCCCAGCAAAAGGCAGGTGCCAGGGCCTTTACTACATCTGCTTCCCTTCCAAGGTCAGGGCTGCCAGTTGGATGGAGCAGAAGTTTTGGGGACATGGGAAGCCATGAGGGACAGAAACTGGCCCTGGACTCCTCCTACCAAGTGACAGGAGAGCTTGCTCTTGTTGCCTCCATCTCCAGGGCAGCTCGACAGTCCCTGCTACCCCTGACATGCACACCCTGGGACAAGGGACAGAGGATGCTCAAAGCATTGAAGGAATAGAGAGCAAGATGCAGAGGCCATGGGGAGGCTCAGGAGCAGAGCCGCCCTTCCTCATAGAGGCTGGGGCTGTGAGTTCCTGATAGGGATGGGGGTTCAGAAGACACAGTCATTTTTGAGGGTGTCAGTAGGAGGTGGTGGAGATCCAGGTGCCATACCTCTAGACTAAGCTGGCTCAGGCAGGCTCTGCCACCTGGTTGCTGGGCACTTGCTGCCTACCTTTGGGCCAAGGACTCCCACCAAGAGAGGACCAAGTGTGAAGGCCATGCTCTAGGTCACCATCTTTAGACCTGAAGAACCCAGCCTACCTAGGGGGCCATCACAGACAGAGGTGAATGTGGCAGCTTCCCAGGTTCTCCTGCTCATTGGGATTAAACTCTATGCTCATTGGGTTAAAAACTCCAACTGCAACAAACCCAAAAACAGTGGAGGGAGAGACTGAGGCTCAGTTGGCCCCACTGTGCCAGGTGGGGAATTCTGGGAGCACTTCACTGAGTCATCCCCATTCCTCCAGGCTGGTGTAGCCCCACCTCTGGGCTGGCTGGACTCTCACATGGGCAGAGTAGAGGCTATGGGTGACGAGATGCTCAGTTCCTGAGGTCTTCACCAAGGGGAGTTCTCTAGTCCAGGGTGTTTTTCATCATGGCCCGGGGGGTGGGGCTCTGTGCTCAGCTACTGATTCCTGGGGCTGCTTCTCCCCAGGCAGAGGCAAAAAGTTCAAGAGATGCACCCAGGGCCTCTCTGAGCCTCAGACACTTGCAGTAGTGCCCACGTCCCCGCACCTCACCCCAGCACTGGAAAGCCCTGCTCTTTCCTACAGGTGAAGGGAGTTAATTCATGGAATGGCACCAGAGGTAGACCCGAGACCTCATGGGCTGCACTGAGGGAGTGACTGATGAAGCTGCCATCCCAGGAAAGTTCCGGGGTTCGAAAGGGACTATATCTGGAGACTTTTGGTGTGACCTCCAAAGAAGTTGGGAATCCCTGGGGAAATTCTCTGAATGGCTGGGGCCGAGACGTAAGGGGATCTCAGACCAGGCTCATGGTCCCCATCAAAGCAGATCAGTCTATCCCATGCATACCTCCAGATGCCAGACAACACACAGTGACACCAGTGGGCGCTCATGAGGGTGTGAGTCACCTGCTGCTTCCTTGACCCCAACTCCCAGCCTAGTCTCCCTCTAGCCTTTATTGGCAACTGCTTGCCCTCAGCCCCAATGGGCTGTGATGGAGAGAGATGAGACACAGGAGCTGGTAAGTACGTTCCACAGCTCATGGTGGGAAGGCTGGACTCCCAAAGCCCTGGGAGAAACCTCTGCTCGTGCCATCCCACCCTAGTGGCAGGCCCAGGCCCACCATGGCCACCAGCAATCTTCCCCCTGAACCGGCCACCCGTATACCTGACATACTACTCAGGGCTTCCCCAGCCTTGACTAGCCCTGGAAGCCACTCAGAAACCGCCCAGTCCCCCAGTCCATCTGGGGGCCTAGAACCAACCCTCCCTTCCACACCTCCCTGGTGGTCTAGTCAGGAATTTAAAATCCTGAAACAGTTCCAGCTCCTGACACTCCAGATGGACTTGGGACCATCAGGCAAGCTCTGAGAACAGAGCTCAGAGCTTGGGGGTTGCAGCATTGGGAGAAAGGGAGTTCATCTGTGCCATGATCCAGGAGCCCAAGCACCTGCTAAACTGGGGCTCCTCCCTGGAGAATTCTGGCCCTGGAGGCCCTTGGCCCAGAAACAGGCCCAAAGTGCCACATTCTGGCTACACAGAAAACCTAACACCCCTTGAGCTCTTTCCTGTCTCCCTTCTTTGGGACCCCTCTCCTCTCTAAGCTTCCCTTCCATCCAGAGACCCCCTTCCTCTCTGAGCCCCTTCCTTGGGAATACATGAGCGAGAAGTCTATGAGCTGCCGAGGCTTAATGGAGCCTCAGTCCAGCTTCAGAGAAGCCCCTGGGCCTTCTCCTCACTCCCCACCCAGGGCTTGGCGCTCTGAGTGACCCTTAGATTCCCCAGGACAAGGTTAGGGCACAAGGACTGCAAGTCAGAGGGATAGAGACAGTCCTTTCCAACTAGTACGGAGACTACAGCAGTGGGGGTACTCCGGGACATTGCATTCACCTTTCTAACAGCCTCAGGGATGACACAACTGTTTCCCACACACATAGAGAGAAAAGGGGTCACTGGCCGAGCATGCAAGGCTACAATCTCTTTTGCATCTGTACTAGGTGGGCAACAGAGGTGCAGTGGGAAACAGGCGGCAGAGTCCATCTCTACCCTCTCCAGCTCATGGGCCCCTGATCTTTGGATCCCTGCACTTTAGCAGAAGAGTCCCCTTTTAAGCTTTACTCACAGGTCCTCGGAGTCCTTAGGCTCCCCATGGCTGGGCCTTCCTCTACCTGAGGTGACAGAGTGGGCAGCAGTATGGGTAGAGAACACTGGGCAGCTCCAGTCCCAAGGAGACCCCCACTCTGCTTACCAGGGAACTCTTGCCCCTAACTCAGGCTTCCATCTGTGCCAGGGCAAAGAGCTAGGACTCAAAGAAGAGGGAGTGTGCTGCCTTTGGAGTGAACTGGGGTCTCCCAAACTGGCAGGACAGGGGCTACAGGGGTCCTGAGCAAGAGAGAGGAACCACCGTGATGCATGTCCTCGGCCCAGTCACCCTGGGACCCCAGCTATCCATACCAGCAGGGCCCAGCTGTCCCTTCAGCATCCAGAGCATGGCGAGGGTTAGCACAAGGAAGAAGCTGTTCTCCCTCTCCTGTGGGGCCTGCCCCTCTAGTGGCTATTGTAGAGTGGCCTTGATGAGTATTAATAGTGTGGGCAGTCAGCACTTCGAAGCTGGTGCCTGGAAAGTGTGGAGCTGAGACCTTGCTGCTGGCTCATCTCTCTCAAGGCTGCAAGGACAATGCTGGCAGGGGTGGGAGTGAGAGAGCAAGTCTCAATGCCCTGACAGTGTAGGTGGTGGTGGTGGGGGCTGCAGGCAGAGCAGGTAGCCCTAGTGAGGGGCTAGAGCCCAGAGAAGGGGACAGGCAGACTGGGCGTGGGAGAAGCCATCCTGGCTGCTGCATGCTTGAGTACTCAATCCACCCGGGTCTCTTGGTTCTATCTGCAAGTCCCCGGGGCCCTGGAACCTGGATCTGGCCTTGCCTATCTTCCTATTCTCTGGAGCCTTCTTGCTGACCCAACCCCTTTCCAGCCTTAGGACCTCTCTTCCCCCGACTCTGCTTCTGGCACAGCTCCCACCTCACAGGGTCTCAGCAAAAATGTCACCTCCTGGGAGAATTCCCTCACCTCTGTATTCATCTTTCTATCTAGAGCTGTCCTTCATTCTCTCAAAGCCACCTCTTTTAATTTCATAGCATTTACCACAATTTGTGCTTAAATAGTCATTTGTTCATTTACTGGTCACAGGCCAGTGTCTGGTCACCACTGAGTCCCCTGTGTCCAGTGGCCCAGGCATACAACAGGTGCCCCATAAATACTCATTTCATCAAGAATCACCCTCTCTGGCTCCCTCGGTGGAGTGATGGGCCAATGTGCCCTGGTCCCCTCTTATAGCTCCTGAAGGTTAAGGAGCAGGGACAGGGCAGGAGCAGGTCAGGCCACCCCCTGGCCTGGCATGACCCAGAGGCAGCCCGGGGTTAATGCCCTGGAAGGGCTATGCAGGTCCAACCCTTCAGGGCCTGCCTAGGACTGAGGTCACGTGGGCCTTGGTGGCTCTGAGAGGGGCCGGGTCCTCCCAGTGCTCCTGTGCATAGGTGTGGGTGGCAACTGTTCTGGGGGCACGTTTGCCTCTTCCAAGGCACCAAGGCCCAGCTTCACGTAGTGGTCCCCACGCAGAGCGGCCACCACTTGCTCTACTTCTCCCACTAGCACTCCAAAGGTGGGTCGCGCTGCAGGGTTCGCCGCCCAGCAGCGCCGCATCACTGCATACCTGTAGGGGGAGGAGAATGTCAGGGGCAGGACAGAACCCCTCCCAGAGATTCTGGGCCACCCACCCATTAGCACCCTGGCAGGCCACATAGGGATGAGGACAGGTAACAGGGCCTAGTGCCCAGCAGAGCCCAATCGGGGCAATTCTTCTCATCATTGTTATTGCTGTTCCAGTCCTGCCTTCCCACCCTGGTGGAGGTTGAATTGCTTCAGGGCTTAAGAGCTTGGGCTCCTGTGTCCGTGCCCTGGGCTATGTGATTTTGGGCAAGTGCTTTAACCTCTCTCTGTGCTCCTGGATCTTCCTCTGATCCCAGAGCTGTTGGGACATAGGTGACAGGATGCCTGTGAAGTGCTTAGCTTAGGGCCATCTCACAAGCTATCATGGTTTTATCATCACACATCTTCCAGAAAGGAAGCCCAGGTCCAGTGAAATGGGGGTTAAGAGTCCTGAGACAAGAACATGTGAGGCAGCACAAGTGGCACCGTGGTTCCTAAGCAGAGTTTCTCTGGGTTTGCCTGGTAGGTCCTGGTCCTTGTCCCTTTATCTTGGGAATATCATCCCTGCCTTAAACGATACTCTAAGTGCCGTACACACAATAATTTCACATAATTCTCAGACTCTTGGAGGGTGGTACTATTACCATCCCAACTTTACAGATGAGGAAACTGAGGCTCAGAGAGGCGAAGGGACTTGCCCTGGTGTAGTGGATGCTGTGGTGTGCCACCCAGATCCCTCCCTTCATTCTCCCATAGCTGCTGACTGCTGGAGGCTGAGGCCCTCTCTAGGAATTGCCCAAAGCTCACGGTCCCTCCTCAGGGACAGCTGTGCCCAGTGGCTGATTAACATCTGGTACAAAGACCTGGCCCCATGATCTTCATTTCAGAAAACTAAAGGGCCATCCCAGCTCAAGCAGTCCCCGTGGGATGGGCTGCAGCTGCTGTTGCATCTGTATCGCAGCCTAACTTCTCCTCCAGCCTCCCTAGCCCCTAACCTCCCAATAAACCCTAGGCATGTAACTCTCCAACTCAGAGTTTGTTTCAGGGAGCCTCACCCAGAGGCAGATAGGCAGTGAAGTTAACTTCCTTTATTTCAAACCAGGTACATCAGTGAAGTGAATAAAGAAGATCAGACCGAAGGCAGCGGGCCTGTGAGGAAGGGTTACTCATCCTTCCTGGAACACAGCCTGAGACAGGACCTGTGACCTGATCCTTCCTGTTCTAACAAAGACTTGGGCACAGCAGAGCTGCTTAAGATGAACCTTGGCACCAAACCCACCCCACAGGCACTTACGATGACACAGCTGCCATGCCTCCGGGAATGGGAAATCGGAAACCAGATCCAGTGAAAAAAACACCTGACCTGGAGAGGTGGAGGGGACTAGTGTGGGAGCTAATGGAACCTTTCCTTGAGGTTAAGTGAGTGGAAAAGATGGAAAACAGCCCCCCTTGGCGGGGGTGGGGGAAGAGGAGTGCCAGGAAATTAAATCACTGGCCTCAACCCAGGCTCTGAAGTTGGGAATGCTGTTACCATGGCAACCATGATATCTTCCCAGCACCCAGCCCCAGATGGGGGTGGAACCAGACCACAGATGAGGAAACTAAGGCCCAGAGAGGGTCCTTTTCCAGGTCAACCAGAGGATCAGTCAGAAAACGAAGCAAGAACTCTTGTCTCTTGCCACTTCCTCATCTTTGGGGCCCAGCTCCCTCTGCATTACCACCTTCACATACTCACAGAAAATCGGGGCAATACTCAGGCTGGGGAAGGCGACGACCCTGAGCCAGGAAGGGAATGAGGTCAAAAGGGTCGATGTGGGGGTACGGTGGGGCACCCCGTGTCAGCAGCTCCCATAGCAGCACACCAAACGACCACTGTGGGAAGGGAAAGGTAAGGGGACTCAATTCTCACCCAAAATGTGGGGGTAGGTGGAACCCCAGGTCTCCTACCTCCCAGATCCCTTTAGCTGGAAATGGGGGGCCCTGTCCCCCAGTCAGAGCCTATCCCTACCTCCCAAGCATCTTCTCTGTCTCCTCCCACCACCTGAGCCTGTCCAGAGTTGGGGCTGGGCAAGACCTAGGGTGTCTGTGAGGAACCAGTGATTTCACAGCCTTTTCCTGTCTAAGAGGTGGGTACATGGGCAGTGAGGGCTGCCCAACCTAGAGAGTCCCTGGGCTCAGATCACCATCCGGAGCCGAGCGTTCTCCCAGGACACTGAGCCCCATGTGGACTCTGGGCAGGTGGAGCCTCACCACATCAGACTTGGTAGTGAATTTGTAGGTCTGCAGGCTCTCCAGCGCCATCCATTTGACAGGTAGGCGAGCATGGCGCTGCTGTTGAACGCTGTAGTATTCCTTGTCCAAGATTCCACGGGCCATCCCAAAGTCAGCCACCTTGACTGTGAATGACTCATCTAGCCTGGGAGAGGGGAATCACACTCAGCACTGGCCCCCACCAGGCCCTAAACCCACCTGTTCCAGGTCCTTACAGGCTTTCAGAGCCACAGAGTCTAACCTAAGCCTGCACTGGGCAGACAGGAAAACTAAGGCCCAGATCAGGGAGGACATATCCGGGACTGAGGCACCTTTAGGACAGCTATAGTCCCTGGTACCCTGACCCCTTGCTTCACCCCAACTGCTCCGGGCCCTCACATGCAGTTCCGAGCAGCCAGGTCCCTGTGCACAAACTTCTGCTCTGCCAGGTACTCCATGCCGCGGGCTACTTGCAGGCCGAAGCTGATGAGGTCCTTCACTGTGGGGTTCTGAGGGCACAGGGGGGTCAGTAGGCAAGTACAAAGCAGCTCCATCCCCAGCTGCGGCCCAAGCCCCTGACCCAGGGCCAGCTGAGCACTAACCCGCTGGGGTGAACGGATGAACCGGAGCAGGTCTCCATGGCGCATATAGGGCAGCAGCACACGGGGTAGCCCTTCAGGTGGTAGCACAATGCCGATGAGAGCCAGCACGTTTGGGTGATGCAGACCACGCATGATCAGCCCCTCGCGCAGGAAGGCCTCCACCTCCTGCATCTCTGTGATGCCTGCAGAGCAGTGTGAGTCAGGCCCAGGGCTGGGAGGCCCGTTACAAGGGTCAGATGGGGAAATGGAGAACAGCCTCCTGCTCAGGGTCACTCAGCCATGTGGTAGCACAGCAGGGGTGAGGACCCACCCAGCCTCTGTCCTACTTACGACTCAGCGACTTAATGGCACAGTGGATTCGATTCTGGGCTTCGTCTGTGTATTCGCCATGGTAGACAACTCCAAAGTGGCCTGGTGAAAGGAGATGATGAGAGGGACCCCAGTGCCAGTTGCTCAAACCACACCCTCTCATTGGCAACCAGGCCTCAGAGCACCAACTAGCAAATCTGACATTAAAAACAAGCAGTAGCGCTGGCCGAGTGGCACGATGGTTAAGAACTGGCTTGGGACGCCAGAGGGCCCCGGTTCGAATCCCACATATGAGGGCCAGTGACACTGCCCTCCACAGCTAAGATGCTGAACAACAGCTCAACCTGGAGCTGGGCTGCCGTGAGTTGCCGGCGACGGCGTAGGCTGCAGCCCCTGTGGCAGTGGGTTGCCATGGGCTACCGGATGTAGCCAGCAGCCAGTGTGAGCAGCCAGCAGCCAGTGTGAGCGGCCGTCCAGAAGCCGGCAACTGATCTGCCTCGCCCGGGAAGAGCGCAATGATGGTGCCAACTTGGGCCAGTGAAGCAACATCCTCCACAACTAGATTGAAGAACAAAACGACAGCAACTTGTCTGTTCCCCTTCCCCCAATTCCCCAGCACTGTTCCCATCCCCCCCAATTCCCCAATTAAAAAAAACAAACAAAAAAAACAAGCAGTAGCTGCAAGATGGCAGAGCAGCCTCCCAGGCCCACTTTATCTGTACCAGAACCCACTGAAGACAGAACTAATTCCCATTTTACAGGTGAGCAGCTGGAGGCTCAGAGAGGTTATGTGATATACCCAAAGGTCACACAGGTTGGTTAGAAGGCCAGAGCAGAGTCCTGTCCAACTGGCCATGTCATCTCAGGACTCCATATCTGCTCCAGCCCCACCTGGTCTGGCACCCACACCTTTGCCAATGACTCGGTCACTGTGGGTGACCACTTGCTCGTGGGGAATCAGCACATCCTTGACCTCGGCCAGGAGTGTAGAGTCCAGGACCCCCAGATGGATGGACTCTGTCTGCAGCAGTGGGACACAGGATCCATCCCCGTTGTCTGAAAAGGAGGCTCTGTGGACACGAGTGGTGGAAACCAGACCATCTATGGCAGGGGCTGCTGTGGGGGAGAGGGAGTAAGGGTCTTGTGGAGCAGAGGGGATGGGCCCAACTTCTAGCGCCTCCACCATCTCACCAAGGCCATTTCTGTAGTCAGAGCCTGAGCGGAGCATAGGCAGAGACATGGCTCCAGTGGTTTGCTCCAAGGATGCCGGGTCATCCGGTTTTGTAGAAAGGGCTGTGGAAAGACATCCCCTGGTGGCTAGCCTCTACAACTCCTAGAGGCTGACCCCTACCCAGGAGCTGTGGGCAGACCCCCAAGGCCTGGGCAGAGGGAGGATATAGGGACTTGGAGATGCCATTGTTTGGGGGTAAGGACTGAGTCAGGATGGGGGTGGAGAGCTCACCTCGTTGTCTCCTCCGCCAGTAGCTGAAGACCAGTATGGGGGCCAATATAGCCATAAACAGCACCAGGGCCAGCAAGACACCAAGGAGCGTCTTCTGTGAGGCCCCCTCTGAGCCTGAACGTACCACTCTACCCAGGATGTGACAGTCACCATCCACGCAGACCTGGAAGCAAGTGGCAACTCAGGCCCAGCTTGCAGGCCTTGGCCCATGTCTCCTGTAAAGGGCCAGCCAAGCTGCCTACCTGCAGTGGGGCACCATTCTTGCCCAGTTGCAGGGAAGGGGACAGAGGGCAGATGACCACATCGCCCCGGAGCTCATGATCACACCTCCTATTACCCACGGTGACGTTCACATCCACACAGTCAGCCACAGCTCCTAGCCCAACATACTGCAGAGACAGTCATGAGGACTGGCCAGTGCCCCCATCTCCTTTGGGCAGGCTTCAGCCCTAAACCTCCATTGTCCTTGCCCTCCATCCCCCACACTTACTTCGAACTTAATGGCATGCTCCTCGGGCTTCAGTGGGGCCAGGTCAGTGCTGGGTGGACGGGGTGAGGGCAGGAAGCGAAAGCCGGGCAGTGTGAAGCCAGCAGCTCCATCTCCCTGGACACTCAGGTTTCCTGTCACCCACCCCTGCGGGCCTCGGACCACGTATTCAGGCAGGCGGCACCAATGCTTCTCCGGGAGCTGCCCCTCACACTGCTGGAGCCCATGCAAGAGTGGTTAGCCAGGCATCCTGCCTATGGCCACCCCAGTCTCCTTGGCCCAGTACGGGGTAGGGCTGGAACTCAGGGGACTGGTCTGGCCTTCCTCCCTCCTGACCAGTGCCCATTTGGCAGCTGCCAGTGTCCACTCACCCTGTTTGCCACCGCCCTAAGCCCGTCTTGAAATGACAGCACTAGGTGCCACACTGAAGTCAGATGCTGGCCATGGATGGTGACGTGGGAGCCGCTGTGGAGGAGAGCAGGGTGGTGGGCTTGGGGTGCTCTCCGAGGCTGGCTCTCTCATTCCTAGGAGACCAGAGTGGGCAAGGAGGTAGCACTTACGTGTAGCCACAGTTGGGGCTGATGCCCAGCACAATGGGGTCTTCCCGGTAGTCAAAGGTCCAGGAGCCAGGCACGTGGGCACCCCCTACCTGCAGGCGAATGGGAACGCTGGCCGTAGCAGCACTGGGAGGTGTGGTACATAAAAGCTGCCCCTCACTGACCCTGCAGAACAGGGGAACTGGGCTCAGTATCACCCTCTAGGTGATGGCCAGGCCTTCCTCCTCCAGGGGTCTGCTGAGCCTTCCCAGTTCCTCTCTCCACCTGCCCATACTATACAGGTCTAAAGACAGGGCAGTCCCAGTAAGACCTCCAAGAAGGTAGAGAGGGAACAGGTTTTCTACAGCCTTGGCTGGAGTGATGGACTCTGTGATGGGCTCTCATGCCATCCCCAAACGACCTGTGGACTGGAAGCGTCAACAGACCCTTCTTCCTGAACCTAACCATGTGACTGAGCCTTCCTCCCTCTGCCCTGACAGGGATCCAAGTCCCACCCAGTAAGGGCTTCCCTGGGTTGGGTCCTATGGCCACCGAGCCCCTCACCTGCCAGCACTTACCGTTCCAGCAGGCACTCAGTCCCATTGACCAGCACGGCCCGGCTGGTGCCTATAGACAGGCCTTGGCCCTTAAGGGTGAGGCGGGTGCCCCCTGCCCGTGGGCCAAAGAGAGGTTGTATTTCCTTTAGCACTGGTTCCTAAGAGGGTATGGAGGTAGCTTAGCTCGGTGTAGGAGACCCTCCACTCCAAGCCCTTCCCTGCCCATATTGCCCAGCTGGCCAAGGGCACAGACAAGGCAAGGTGACCTCACCATGAAAGAGAAGCCTTGTCGCACAGAGGTGCCATCTACCCGGAAGTGCTTGCCTGGTGGCATGTTGGTCACGGTGAGGTTGATGGTAGCGGGCCCGGATGCCTGTGTGCCCAAGGGCTCCAGCTCACACTCAAGCTCTTCTACAAAGTCCTTCCGCGACACTGGGCTGGAGCATCGGGGAACCCAAGGTCAGCCCGGGGTCACACCGGCCTGGTTGGATGCCCGCCACAAACCAGTCTCCTCTGAGCCTGAAAATCACCTCTCTCCACCCATGCCTTCCTCCCAGGCAGACAGGATCTGGCAAGGCAAGGACGAGTCTTGCCCGGTGCATGAACCAACAGGGCATGTGCAGGCTCAAGAAGGGACAGAGATGTCTCCCCAGACACAAAGCAGCCAGAGTCACTGCAGCTTGCCTCATACCTCCTGGCCCCCAATAAGTAGAGGATAAGGTCTCACAGAGAAGGGACTGCTTGGTTTCCCCCATTAGGAAGGGCAGGGACCTGTTTTACCTGAAGTTTGAGCTGTCCTTGGGCAGCAGTCGGCAGGGACTTTGGCCCACGGTGACCTGATGAGTGCCCTCAGGCACCAGACCGGTAGGGTGCAGGTAGAAGTTGGAGCCACACAGGGTCAGCCTTGTGCTGCCCCTTAGGGGTCCACTGTGGGGATAGAACTAGAAGGGGAGCAAATAGCCTGAGTCCCTTTGTGGGCCAGGCCTCTCAGTCCTGTCTGCTTCCCCCAAACTTTTCTGCTGTACCCCTTGCCTTCCCCACTCTCCAGTCATTCTAGGTCACTTGCTAGTCCTCACTTAAGCACTTTTCTGCCTCCACACCTTTGCATGCGCTCTCCTCTGCCAAGAATGCCCTCCTCGTAGCTATTGAGGAAATCCCAGTCCTGAGGAAGATCATGGTCAAGACCAGCTGACCCCCAAGGCAGGCCCAGCTTGCCCCACCCTTACCTGTGCCCTGCCAGGTAAGCCATACCTCAGTAAGCTTGGGTGGGCAATGGTCCTGTTGCCAGGAGCCAGGACACTCCTTCTGCCGGCCACACATGCTCCCACACCAGCCACAACCCATGAAACGCTGTGCCCGCAGACAACGCCCACAGGTGAGGAAGTGGCGGCAGCCAGGGCCCCGGATAGGTACCTGGAAGACCTTAGAGTGGCAGAAAGGTGGCTGAAGGGTGCTGGAGGGGGTTGGGTGGCCTAGGCCCCATAGATCCCCTGGTCCCATTGTACATCAGGGTGGTGAGACCTGTGTGTCAATGCCACCCTGGATTGGATGGGGAGCTGTGCCAGGGCCTGACCCTGCCCACCTTACCTGGTCCCCAGAGGCAAAGAGCAGGTGGTCCCCAAGGCGGCTGACATCCTGTTGCATGGGTTGCCCATGGCTGCCCAGTGAGAAGTTGGACACATACAGCAAATAGTTGAGAGACCTGGCCAGCTCCACCTGGGAGAGGTCAGCTATGAGCAAAATGAGGATGGGGATGGGGACCTCGGGACGAGGGGCTGTGGAGATGAGGGACCTACCTGTAGGATGCGCCCATCCATCGTGCCCATATGGGCCACTGTGATATTGGCGAGGCGTGTTACGTACAGCGCAGTGACTTGCACTGGTCCTAACAGCCCGTTGAATAGGTCCACACGTGAGAGGCTGCTGCTGACCAGCAGAGGGAAGTGGCGGCAGCTGGTATTGGGGTTGAGGGCCACCAGGCTAGGCTAGGGAAGGTCAGGGAAGGAATCAGGGCTCATTCTCACACACTGACCCTTTGGGGCCTCTATCAGTGACCACAGCAGCTCAATCTCCTACCCCTCACCTAACCTGCCTGGTGAAGGCCCCAGGCCTCCCAATTACTGCACCATGCTCCATGGGGCTCCCAGAGGTGGCAAAACCAAACTGGAAGGCCAGCTCCCCCTGCACCTTGCCCTACCTACCCTACCATGTCCAATTAGATAATGAGTTACTGAATCTTACAGACCAACCCCATTCTGTCCTCAAAACCACTCTGTAGAGTGGGTGCTCTTACCACCCCCCATTTTACAGATAAGGAAGCAGGCTCAGAGAAGCTGGGTCACTTGTCAAAGGCCTTAAAGCCCCTCAGGAAGAGGAGCCAGGTTGGAAGTCTGAGCTCCTGATCCGAGTCCTCTCGTGCCCCCTGCTGGTTCTGCCCTGCACTTCAGCAAACCCTGTCCCCTCTTGGGGCTTCAGGTTTCCCCAGCCACACAAGGAGGCTGAACTCAGGTTAATTGACCAGCATGGGCTTGGTAACATGGTCCTTCCCTGAGATTCCAAAGGTCTTCCCGCACCTCCAGTTGCTACCTGTAACTCCTTCAGGGTACAAAAGGGATAAACCAAGCCCTGAAGGCCTGGGTGCCAAACTAGGCCCCAGGGTTGGGGAGATACTAACCTCTCCCCTGCTCTTAACAGGAAGGTATTTTGGGGGCTGCACTCAGTGCTCCAAGGCAGGGCTGCGGAAACTTCTGGGAAATCAGGAAGCCAGAGTGTGAATGCAAAGTATTTGGAGCTGTGTGAAAAATGCAGGCAGAGCTCAGTAGCCCTAGTTGCTTGGGACCATCCCTCACTAGCTCTGAGGGCACTCCTCAAGGCTGGAGCCTCTGAGGCCCCCATCAGGCCAAGTATGTGTAACCCCGTCATCAGACCTCAGCACTGATCAGGAGCCCTAGGGGCAAAGGCAGGTGCAGAGCTGGGCCCAGAAACTCCACACTCTGGGTCTATAGCCTGGATGGGTGGGGACTGGGACTCTGTCCTCACTTGAGGGAGGAAAGGGGCCTGGTCCTAGCGGGAAGCCAGCCAGGTGTTCTCAGCATGACTCAGGGACAGGTGGGGCTGAGGGGTGGAAAAGAGGCCCTACTCCAGCCAGGGCCACACCTCTCCTGCTTGCCCCTGGGTTCCAGGGCATTAGCTCTAGGTTCCCAGGCTTGTCTAAGGGCCTGTAGCTCCTGAAAACACTTAAGAGTCCAATGTCCCACAGAGGAGAGTGACTGCCCCCAACTCAAACCCTACCTGAACCCATGGATATCAGATAGCAGCTCTGAGCCCCTCAAGCTTCCTGAAGCCAGCCACAGTGAGCACACAGTAGGTGTTGCTCTAGAGGCTGCACGCCCAGTCACTGGACAAACACAGTACAAGCTGGTTCACACACTTCCCAGGGGCCGGGCTGGCTTCTGGACAGGGCTTGAGATTAGTCCTCCTAGAGCCTGGCACTGCCAAGTCGTGCTGGGTGTCTTCTGGCCCACTGACAACTAGCCAAGCTGGGGAGAGGTTCTGACTCCCCAGAGAGAAGAGGGCAGGCAGGGCTGCCCAGCCCAGACAAGAGAGCCCCAGCCCTAAGGCCTCCTCAACCCAGCTGGACTCAGCTGAGGGAGGGAGGCAGAAGATCCCCCCAACTCCTCCTTGTGCCTTCAATGGGAGCTAGAAAGGAGTTGGTGGCAAATGTCACAGCAGAGCCACGGCCACAGAGCAGCCAAAGACTGAGAGCAGTGACCCTGGGTCACCTCACTGAAAGACCACTCGTCCAGTGCCATTCACCCCATTTTCTTGGTTTAATCTCTTATAATCTAGGGTAGGATTGTTTCAGTGGCTTTAAGGAATCAGTTTTGGTTTTGTCCTCAGCATTCCCTGTCTGCTCCAGCTCCCTGACGCCATGGCTGGAAAGAACCTGGGTAGGGTCAGCTGGAAGGAGCCCCCAGTTCAACATGGGCTGGGAGACCTCCTGTCTGGGGCAGGGCCCCACCAGAGTGGAAAAACGTCTGGGACTCCTGCGTGGTGAACCAGTTGCCACCAGCCCCACCTAAGCCTTTACTCATCCCCAGATGTTTATAGTTGCTTGCACAACACTGGGGTGAGCCTTCTGGAATCTACTAGAGCCAAGCTGCCTTCCCACCAAGTCGTGGGGCCTCCTGTAATCACCCCACAAAGAATAATCAGGAGTGAGTGTGTCAGTGAAACCCAAGCCACGCAGGCCCCCCCCCAACAAGCCCCCAAACTTCCCAGGCCTTAGGACAGAGGTAGGGGGCACTCTCCGACAACTTCTGTCCCACTCTTTTTGAAAAAACACCAAAACAAGTGCTCCCATAGGGAAAGCGAAACTACGTTGGTGAGCAGTCTGAGGCTGTGTGAGTCTGCGAGCATCTGCCTATGTATGGGGCGCTGTGTGTGAGGGTATGTGTGGTAGACAGATAGGAGGGGATGCCCATAATTCTACCAGAGTTTGGCAGTGTGTCTGGCAGAGAGACAACTGTGATGCAATCTAGCTCTCACATAACCAGGGAAACTGCCTAAAATATCAGAGGCCATGATAGGTGAGAGGGTGAGAGAGCAAAATGGGGTAGCAACAAGGGCTAGCTAGCCTGGCTGGGAGAGGAACGTCCAGTGTGGCCTTTGTTTGGCTCACTCCCTCACACCACCCCCAGCACTAAGGAACTGGGTGGAAAAGATGACTTCCCCCTTCCTGCCTTCCCAGCTCCCAGACCCTCTCAGTGGTGCAAGGGAGCAGTCTGGATTCAGCCACCTGCACACTGCTCACAGGTCAGGGTCCCTTCTCTCTGCTCACCAAGTTGGGGCACAAGCTGGGCGACTGGAAGAAGTCGAGGCCTCGCCGGATGCCGGGGTGGACCGGAGGCTCACAACACCGCTCCACACCCTGCTCGATGAGAGTGTCCAGCAGGTTGATGGGGAAAGCACAGACAACAGAGTTGGGACCCACACTGGGGCTGCTGTCTCTGCCAGCGGTGAAGACCCCAAATAGTACTTCCTGGCCCTCGGCGATGCTCAGCTCAGCAGCCAGTCGGCTACCCACCGGAGCAGTGTGGGCTGCCTGCAGAACCGGGTAGGGCTGCCCGCCCTCAGAGGGACCGCGTCGCCGGCGTTTAGGTGCAAAATGGCAGTTGAGGACCAGCTCGCGGTAGTCGCCCAGCTCGGTCTCGACCGCGCTGAGCCGGGCCAGGCGCGTGTGTAAGGCGCCTGGAGGAGCTGCCACACTGGCCGGCTGCACTGTCAGGAAATAGACGAAGGCTCCTGCATGGAAGCTGTACACGTAATGAATGCGATAGGAAGCCAGGTGTGCGGGCAGCACTGACAGAGCCGCAAAGCCTGGTGCAAATCCTGAAGCATCCGCTTTGAGGCGCCGGATGGACACTGAGCGTGGGCTGAAGCTCGCCGCCACCACTGAATCTAGTGAGGATGCCACGTAGAAGTAGGAGGCATGGCCCTGCTCAACCACGGTCACAAGGGTGCCCAGAGGGCTGGCCACACAGTCAGGGCAGTCCTCGGGCCGGTTGTGGTGGGCGGAGAAGAGGCAGACTGGCGGTGCAAGATGCAGAGTGGTCCCGTTGGGCTCTAGCTCATGCAGAAAGCAGCGGCCATGCAGGCTCGAGCCACAGCTAACCAATGCAGGCAGTGCTGGCTCCAACACCAGCACCTTTGTATCTGTGTCCCCCGGGGGGCCGTGGGGGGCCGGGCCACAGGCTGCGCACGTCTGGCAGCCAGGGTCCCCGGCAGGGCCCGTGGCCAGGCTCTCGACGGGCTTCAGACCAGGCCCAAGCACGTGCAGGCGATTGCGTGTGGCCACAAACACCGCATTTCCGTCCACACCGCCCTCATAGGTTGCCAGGGCCTGTACAGGCCCGCCAACGGAGAAGCTGGGCACCACGTACTCCACGTCAAAGTCACGGGAGGCGGCGTAGGGAGTGCGCGGGCACTGCCAGGACCCTCCCGCGGCGGGCACAGCCGGGCGCAGCAGCAACAACAGCAACAGCAGCAACAGGGACAGCTTCAAGGGCGTCAGACGTAGCTCCATTGAGGCCCAGATGGGGCCTCCTGGGGATTCCCGCAGGGCTGGGCCTGGCTAGAAGCAGACTCGAGGGCTGGAACCAGCGTCCAGCACTTGTCCTGAGAGTCTTCGGGCAGTAGACTCCTGTGATGCCTACCCTCCTCCCCTGCCCTCGGGTCTGAGCACCTGGCACGAGTAGACACACACACCGGCAGGAACTAGAAAGTCCGTCTCACCTGAAGCCCCAGCTGCCGCTCCTAGCCGGATCTTAGAGTGAAGTCGCCGGGAGGGTGGAGGGTGGGCGGGAGGCAGGCAGGGCGGGCGGGGCCAGGGTATGGGGGCGGGGCCCATCCCTTCCGCCCATCCGACTGTCCAGGCCCTCTGAAGCCTGGATCGCACTCCTCCTGGGCGTAGCGGGTGGGTGTGCGTGGAGTGGCCTGGAGAGAGGTAAATAGGCCTGAGCTGTCCCATCTAGGCCCTCGCGACGCACTGGGCCGAGTTGAGGAGGGGGCGGGGGCCGCCCCAGTACCAGTGACCCGTAAAGGACTACCTGGCTCATTTCTTCTCTTGGCGCCAGTTTACAGCAACACCTTCAGACGCTGGTTCCCGGGCAGGGCCTGGGGGACCCACCACGTGGGGAACAGAGACCACGAATGTGTGGGGGACCAGAGGAGAGCCGTGAAGGGACCCCAGGAGTGGCGCCACTCTCTGTGGGCAGGGGCCGGCTATCCTTTCATGGGCTTGTTCTGGACTTTCAGCAACAGGATGGTGCCAGGAAGGTGCGTTGCACTCTGCCCTCCCAGGATGGTAGGGGTTATAAGATGGGGCCAGTCCTGCTGGCTGGACAATAGAGTCACAGGAGAGGCAGCTTATGTGGAGGCCCAGCCCTAGCTCTGGACTCTGCATCGCTGCCTCAGTATGTGGAAGCTGTAGGATGGGGACAAGAAAACACGATGCCAACCTTCCTTTTCGGGTCTACTCCAGCAACCTCCTGAAATTGGGAATGCATGGGCACCTCTAACCGGCTCTGTAAACCTGGCTGGGCCTCAAGTCTTTCTGTCTCTGAAATGAGGATATAGTTCTGACTAGGTGGTCTCCCAGAGCTCTCTCCTAGGCTGGGGTGTGTGTGGGGTGGGCGAGGGGAGGCAACGTAGGTTTGTTCTTGCCATCTCTCAACTGGACCTCAGCAACTTCCCCTTGGTAACTGGTGTGGACGAAAAAGGGGCCACATACTAAACCTGACAAGTTCAGGGGAAGCCAGCATGGCGGGTCTTACAAACTCAGAGACTGGAAGTAACCACATAGGATAGTCTGAACCTAAAAATCCCTAACTACAGGAGGTTCATAGTGGATAGTCATGTCCTAGGCCTGTAGCTTCCTTGACAAAAGCCAATCTTTACCTTAAGTGAACCTGTCTATTGTCTTTGTGCATCTAAGATAACATACCTTTGAAACGTCAGAGTAATTTTCTTTTTGACACCCCCTCAAAGGCACAACTGCCAGCACCAGCGCACCAGACCACCAGAGCAAAAAAACCACAGAACCCCAAATTGTTATCTTGTTCCCCGCATACCATCTCTATATGCTATAAAGGTTAATTATTAACTACCCTGTCCCCACCAATGTACAAGAAGTATGTGTCTCTCCGTTTTACTTTTTATCCAATCCTAGAGATTTCCCTGCTTTGCATTCTCCTGCCCCCTTAATCCACCACCAACGGATTTCACGTAACCTTATGTCTCCTCCTTTGATTCTAATGTGTAAAATAAGCTGCAAAACTGCCATTCTCTGGAGCATTTTCTCAATCCGTTGAGATTTTGCTTCCTGGCAATTGTCAGTTTGGCTCAGATAAACTCATAAAAATCCTCTACAGGCTCGGACGTTTCTTATATTGACAATGATCCCCCCCTAACACTGGAGAGGGGTCTCAGGGGACATCCTCAATCTGACAGCCCCCTCAGCCAAGTGTGCCTGGACCCTGGAGGGAGGGGAAGCTTCACAGGGTGGCCTTGGGTTGAAGTGCGAGGGACCTGTGAACCATGGGTCCCAGGGCTTTGGAGGGTAAGGGGAGTGGGGCAGAGAGGAGCCCTTAGCTCAACAGGATTCAGCCTGGCCCGGGGAGCTGTACCTCCTCTACCCTCTCTCCCAGCCCATACTCCTTGTTCTCCTTCCAGGAGCGCCCTTTTCCCTTCCTCCTCTTGCAGCTTAGGTAGCACCTCCTCTAGGAAGCCTTCCTGATCCAGGAGGGGCCAGGTTCATTGTGTGGGTCTCACAGACCCTGTGCTACACCCACCCCAGTACAATTCACTCTGGATACCTGACTCCCTGCTTCCCCCATTCCTAGTGCTGGGTCTCCTCTCCCTCCAGGCTGAGCACCTGGTGACAGAGACGAAAGAGCACCCAAGAGCACCAGCACTGGCCTCACCCAGTGCCGGGAGGATAAGGTGCCCGAGGTAACATAAAAGGCACTCCCTTCTCTAACCAGAATTGGCCCGGAAATGAATAAACACACATGGAAAATCATGGCATGGTTCCCGTGTTCCACAGTCAACATGTCTAAAGATAGTCATGCAGGGCAAAACCGAGATGGAACATTCCCCGCCTGGGGCAGAGATATGGGTTCTTGTGACCTCCATCAAATCTCGGGATACTCAGAGACTTCGGGGACCCTCCTTAGTCACCCAGTCCACCCATTTAGGGATGGGGTGGGAGTGCTGCAGTCAACCGTTTGTTCTCTGCTGCCACCGTGTGGCCAAGCTGTTGGCTGCCTCCAGGCCAGCATTTCCTCCAGGCAGCCTTGGTCATTGACAACAGGTGTCCCAAGGAGCACCTTCCCCCCCCCCCCCCCCCCCCCACTGCTCCCTCTGCAGGAGGGGAGAAGGGAATCCATGTAGAGGAAGTCAGCTAATGGGGCCTTGTAGTGCCAGGTACAAGTGCTCCCCCAAGGTGAACTCACAAAACGTGGCCCATATTTGGCTTATGACCTGCACAACTGTCCTGGCATCTGCCACCTTGGAGTGCTAGCCACTTTGCCTTCTTTGGATTCTCACTCCCCTCTGAATGCTACTCCAGAAAACCAGTGCCAGCTTCTTTCTCCACCCAAGACATCATCATCTTAGTGGCAGCAAGGGGTTCTAACCCCATCGCTCTGCAGCTTTAAAACATTCAATGGTTCCCCACTGCCAGACCTTTACCAGGAGTTCAAGAACCCTAGGCCTTAAAGGCTCCTCCAGTTTCATTGCAAACCAGTCATACCAGGTCCTTCTATTTGCATGTGCTGGTTCCTCCACAAGAAACACCTTCCCTGTCTGCCTGTTATTCCTTTCTTGATCCCCAGATAAACCCCACATTCCTCGATACCCACTGTCCTAGATACCTACTCATCTAATTGTGACCACCCCTTCTCACTCCTGCCCAGGATAGGTGCTGAACTGCAGAGAAGCTGAGAGCCCTACAGGTATCAGGACAACGAATAGGGGCACCTCAGGCCAACCATTGTCCAGAACACCATTAGCAGTCAGGGATAGATGGCCTGACATCACCCTGGCCCCAGAGGCAGTAGTTTGGCACCTTGGCCAGGAGCAAGGGCAACAGAAGCAGGAAACAGGCAGAAAAGAGACCCTGGGCATGTGAACAGGGATAAGTAGCACCTACCAAGCTTGTGGCTGCTTCCCACCAGCTTTGGGGTCTAGGCAGGTGGCCTGCTGCCATACCCACTCTAATGTGATCCAGGGTGGGGCCAAGGGTAAGGGCTATACTGCCATTTCCTGGAACAGTAAGTAGAACCATTCCAGTGTACCCTTGGCCCATGCCACCCACACGGACACATTCTCCAACATGGGGTGGTTTTAGTGGCAGAGTATCTTGGCCTACCTAGCTCTAAGAGACTGCATGAGTGTGATTCAATCTAGTCTGAAAACCATATTCAGTGGACACTTTTCTCCCACACACACTCCCTAGGTCTTTCGCTCCCTCAGCCATTGAGATGGTTAAGTTGTGGCAGAACTTGGAGATCTCTCCTCCCCCTGCCCCCCAGTAGCAAGGTAGGAGCTTTCTGCACTGTGCCTTGGGCTCTGCCCAAAGAAGGTCTCCTGATAGAATGAATGGGGCTGGGCCTTCACTGATAAGCCTCCCGTAATTGCCATGGTGACCTACATAGGTTAGGCCATCCCAGGAAACACGGTGACTGAAGAGGGCCTAATGTATCTAGTGGCATCAGACCTTCTTAGGACAGAATCCACTCCTGCCCTAGAGGTCAGCTGGGTCTTCTCTCAGGCCCTGCAGCTCATACCTGGGGGCCATTCCAAGGAATGCGCTAGCCGAAGGTAGGGGAGGTGAGGTGGACAGCCCTTCCTGAGAAGGCCCAAGCTGGGACAATTTCCCCAGAGGCCTACAGCTATAGCACAGCTGGACTGAATTTGTGCTGAACACTGTGCCACCTCACCAAGGGCTCCCACCTATACCGGGGCTCAGATGCATCCCACCTAACTGTCCCCATCTTACTCAGCTCAGCCCCTGCTGAAGTACAGCAGCCCATTAAGCAGAGCCAAAGCCAGGGTTCCCAGGGTGGTTGGGTGGTCCTTCGGGGCACACAACTGCGGGCACCACCTAGGAGTGAGAGGGGAGGCACCAAGGGCTCAGACAGAGTATGAGGGCAAGGCCAGTGGTGTGCTAGAGAACCCTTTACATGTGGCAGGACTTCAGTTGAATGAAAACAGCCCCAGCCCAGGGTCCCACTCTGAGCTTGTGTGGCCTGATGCTCTGCAAGGTGGGGAGAAGGGTGCAAGTGTGCATGTGCCCCGTGGATGGGGAAGCATGGCAGAGGCTAGGGGGCAAGATCCGGTATCTGTATATGAGTGAGTGGGTGAGCAAAAGAACCAGTGACTAGGCCTGATAAGTGTCTTCCCCAAAGCACTTTAATGCACGCACCAACCCACAGTCGCTGCCTGCTGCCTGGGCAAGAGAGGCCAGCCCCGCCTGGAGGCTCCCATGATCCAGTGGGCTTAGGAGGGTTGAGCCCACACACAGTCCCATCAGTAGGTGAGGGGTGTCAGGATGAAGAGGCGGTCTTCTTCCTTGCTGATCCAGCGCATCAGCTTATGGATGGCACTGACAGCTGATGCCTTGGTCCCCAGGGGGCTGTAGCACATGTAGAGCTCAAAGGCACCTGTCACCTGGAGGAGGGGGTACAGGGTGGTCATCCAAGTTAGATACCCCTCATAGCCCCTGACTGGGATCCCAATGAAGTCCATCCCATCCCAGGCCACCTTACCCAGGCCAGGAGGTTCTCGTTGGGGCCTGTGTAGTAGATAGTTGTGAGTGGTCGGGAGGCATTGTGTGCACGGCTGTGCAGGTACTGGTAGAGGCCCAGCAGTCGCTCCTGCTCCTCTTCACTGGTGTACGGGGCCTCAATCTCAGGGCTGGAGATGGGGGAGTGGGTTCAGAAAGGAATGACTTTCATTGCTTTCTCTGGAGATCTAAAAACACCCATTCCTAACCAGGGAGACTCTGCCATGTGTCTTACCCTCCAAATGCTCCCCCAGAACAGGGCACTGTGTCCCCATCACAGAAGACTCCCCAGGACAAGGCTGGGCCCACTCGCTGGAGCCCTGTTCTACTCCCTCCCTCAAGTTCATGGCATCTTTGGTGAGCCTCCCTTGGAGAGGCCAATCTAAGCTTAGGTATCCAAGACAAGGGGACAGGTCCAAAGTGGAAGAAATGTGAGCTGGGAACTCTCTGGACCCAAAGGGGTAAAGGGAGGATAGAAGCGGCGACATTTGGCCCCAGTCCTCCGTTGGAGGAGGAAGTGGAGGAGTTCTGCATCCTGGGCTGGACCAAAGTGACCCCTAAGGCAAAGTTGCTCCGGGGCAAGGGACCCAGGAGACCTCCGTTCCAGCTTCCTTCCCTAGTGCCCAAATGTCTTGGGCATTTCCAGGCCATCTGGGTAATGAAATAGAGAGGTGTACGCCCGTGGAGAGTAGGCTGATAGGGAGTCTGGGTCCCTGTGTCGGAGTAAAACAGATCCAGCACGTCCGTCCATTCCTAGAGGGGCGGTCAGTTTCGGGACTGCACCAGGGCTCAAGCCCAAGCAGCCTCCCTCCCATGCCCCTGTCTCCCTCAAGCAGTGTTCCCCAGGCCTTCCCTCACCTGGTGAAGAGTCCCGAGCTCTTTGACTTATAGAGAAAGTGGCGCAGGTCGGGGATGCCCACTTGGGTAACACTGTAGTAGGGCGTGCGCAGTGCATCCCGCAGCGCTACGTGGGCTCCGCGCTTCCGCAGGCGCTCTTGAAAGCGGCGGCGGCAGTCAGAGACTGCAAAGAAGTCCTCCCGGTCGGTGGAGACCAGCAGCAGGCAGAGATCGGTGTCAGGCTCCAGGTAAGAGATGTGTGCGTGGAAGAAGCCGGCTGCGTTGAATTTGGGCAGGCACACAGGCGTCCAGGCCTCTCCCTCGCGGAAGGACGAGGAGGAACTTATGAGGTTGAAGAGTAGGTGCAGGTCGATGGGGTGCAGGAATTGGTCTTTGCGGCGCACGAGCGCCACGAGCTGGTTGCGCGCCAGTAGGATGGAGAAGACCAGACTGCGCGCGCGCGCCTGCTGCAGGCTGGCACTCACGGCGTCGCGCACGGCGGCCGCCAGGGGCAGGCAGCGCGCCGCCCCCATCAGGAAGCTGGGGTCTCGTGCCATGAGCTGCAGCAGGTTGTCAGTGATGCGCTCCGAGCCCGAGAGCAGGCGCCGCAGGTCGTAGTTCTGCTTCTGCTGGAAGATGTGGCTGAGCTGCGCGCCAGTAAGAAGGCTCAGGATCTGGTAGTAGATGTAGAGCAGCTCCTGCGCCAGTTCCTGGGCCGACTGCCGCGTGCGGGCCACTGCCACCAGCACCAGTGGGCTCCGGCGTACGAATACTACCTTGTAGCCATCTGAGGGTGGGGTGGGGGAGTGGAGGAGGGATGTCAGCCCTCTCCGGGAAGTCCTCCCGATTGGCCTTGCCCAGTTCCCTCGGAGCCCCGCCTCCTGCGCAGATCGTCGCCTTCCACATCATCCTCTCCACCCTCCCTCAGGGCTCTGCACACAGTAGGGGCTTCAGGATGATGAGGAGAAAAACAGCAGCTCACGGCCCCCTTTCCATGAGGGCTCCGGGCCTGTCCCTGCCACTTACTTCACAGACTGGCACCAGCTGAAACGCGGGGAAGCACTTCAGAAAAGAAGATCAGATTCTTGATCTAAGTGGCAAGAGCTGGGTGGGATTCAGGACCTGGGATTTTTGGGTCACTTCCCCAAGCTTCTCACCCTCTCAAAGGGCAAAGCCCATATCAGAGCCACCTTTGGTCCTCACAACAGCCCTAGGAGGCAGTCAGTATTGTTATCCCCTGTTCAGATGAGGACCTGAAGCCCAGTGAGTGGAGGGACGGCCCTAGGTCACAGCACATCCCAGCCCTCTAGGCCCTGGGAATCCCAAACCTGCTGTGAATTAACCCTGGCCAGGGAAACCCTTCCAGCTTCCCTCTCCAGATGGCTCACCTGCGTGGATGGAACGGATAGCGTTCTTGTCAGCCTCCAGGAAGGACACTAGGGCCACCATGACACCCATGGTGCTGGAAAGTGCCTCCTCTGATCCATAGCGGGAGTACACAGGCTTCCCCGCCTCGCTCAGCACGAAGACATGCTTCTGGTGCAGCCGCCAGGCCTCAGCAGCCTCCTCCTCATCCCCCTCGCCTGTGCCCTCCCTGGGGGACTCTGTGGCTGGTCTCCCAGCTGCCCCTGGGGGCTCCGTCCAGTCCTCAGAGCTTCCTGGCAGCATCTCCTCTTGGAGGTCTCGAGCCACACCTGTCAGCTGGGTGCTCAGCTCACTGAAGTCTTGGCTGATCTGGCGCATGTCTGTAGGCAGCGGTGGGGGACCCCCAGCACCCTCCTTGGGATTCTCCCCAGAAGCCGCCCCATCCTCCGATTCAGTCAGGTCCTCGTAGGAACGGGCATGGACGAACATGGCACCCTCCTGCCCGGCACCTGCCAGCCAAAAGCACTGGTGCTTAGAGCAGTAGCCGTTGGCAGACCACCTCACCAGCAAGGTGCCTCATAGATACTCTAGCTTGACTGCCTGTCCTGATGAGGCAAGTCAGTCTTTCCTCCTGCTGTCTGCTAGTCATGCCTCCTTGCAACTTACAGCCCACCAGTCTCCTCTCATCACACTGGGAATAAGACCCAAGCGCCTCATGGCTTTGCGGGCAGCTGATATCTGCCTCCCTCTCTCACTCTCATCTCACAGCCCTTGCCCATCCCAGTCACAGTGACCTTCATCCATCTGCTCTTGGGACACCTTCAAACAGCCCCCCCCCCCCGTAGGGCCTCTGCACCTGCTGTTCCCTCTGCCTGGAAGGCACTCTCACTTCCTCGCATGGCTTGCTCTTTGTCACACTTCAGCTCTCAGCAAAGATGTTAGTTGCCTCCTCCCCTGACCTCCAACCCCAGGCACACTATCATATCTTCCTCCTTGATTCCTCCTGTGGCACTTGTCCATTATTGTCCTTCTCTCTAACTACGATGGAGTTTCCCCCCAAGGGCAGGAACCTGGTTGTTCACTGCTGTGTGCCCAGCACCTCACCTGTACCTGGAACACCTCCTGTGCTCAGCGAATCTCTCCCTGGGAGAAGGCACCCTGACCCTGCTCAGCCCATAGCTCCTAACCCACTCCACTGTAATGGCCTTAGTAGCCTGCGGCAACCCCAAGACAGGGACCATGTCAGTCTTCCTTTACTTTTTTTTTTTTTTTTGACAGATATATTTTGGGTCTATTATGATTTCGGAACTGTACCAGACATTGGGGATACAACCGCTCTGTGCTCAGAGCTCACAATCTTGTGGATGAGAGAGATGGGCAATACATACATAAACAAATAAAATTAGAAAATAACGAATGTTCTGTACAGAGCATGGTCAGAGCAGGACCAACTTGTGAGGTGACATTTAAGCTGAGAGCTGAGAGTGGGGAGAAGGAGCCAGGCCGGTATGCTGCAGACACAGGGACTAGGAGAAGAGCACACACTGGCAGCCAGACAGCACAGGTAGAGCGGCCCAACAGGAAGTGAAGAGGAAGGCTGGAAGCAGACTGAGCCTGCAGTGTCCCTAGTACCTGACAAATGCCCAGTGGGTGGCTTATCACATGCAAGAGTGAGCGGGAGGGAAAGAGTAGTTGGGAATCCCGATTGTTCTGGAGGCTGCACACCCTGCCCATACCTGGCTCCATTCCCTGGGCCAGTCCTGGTGTGGGGCTCTCGGCTCTCTCCACACTCTGCCCATCAGAAGGAGCCAATGTGCCATCAGGGCATTCGCTGCTTTTCTTCCTGGACATGTCAGCAGCCATCCCTTGGGCTCTCCTGTGGAGCAAACAAAGGCATCACTGAGGGGAAAGGGGAAGGTGCTACAGAGGGGGGTCACTGGCATAATCAACGGTGATGAATAAAGGAAAGTGTCCCTCCCCAGGACCCAGCTAACTTGAACCTCTGGAGAATGAACTGAGAGTCTTCTCCTATAAAAAATAAAATATGTTGGGGCCGGCTGAGTGGCGCGTTGGTTAAGAGCTGACTTGGGATGCCAGAGGGCCCCGGTTCGGATCCCACATATGAGGGCCAGTGACACTGCCCTCTATAGCTAAGATGCTGAACAATAGCTGGACCTGGAGCTGGGCTGCGGTGAGTCGCCGGCGACGGAAGGTGGGTTGCCATGGGCTACCGTGTATAGCCAGCAGCCAGTGTGAGCAGCCAGCAGCCACTGTGAGCAGTCGTCTAGAAGTCGGCGACTGATCTGCCTCACCTGGGAAGAGCGCAATGATGGTGCCAACTTGGGCCGGTGAGGCGACGTCCTTCACAGCTGGACTGAAGAACAGAGGGGATAGCAACTTGTCTGTTCCCCTTCCCCCAATTCCCCAATAAAAAAATCTTAAAACAAAACAAAAAAACAAACAAACAAAAAAACTGTAAAAAAAAATAAATAAAATAAAATATGTTGTTCTTTTTCTGATTATAAAAGAAAGAATTCATGGTATCTATTCATTGTAGAAAACTTGGAAAATATAAAAAATTACAAAGAAATTATTTTCTCACCATTCAGGATCTTTCGCTGTTAACATTTTACTGTATTTCCTTCCAGTCTTTTAAAAAAATGTATATATACACAAATAGTTCTTTTTGGATATTTAGGCACTTGCAAAGGAAGAAGTGAGGCAGAGGAAACAGGCTTATCTTTAGGCTGGAGCCTGCCTTTTCCTGGAGTATACTTTTGTATCTTTTGAATTTGGCACCAGGGCTTACCTTACCAATTAAAAACAACTATCAACAATTTCTATTTCCAGCCCCAATCTCTCTTGTGACTTTTAGAGGCACACACATTGACTTGATGTTTGCCCTTGGATGTCTCACAGGATCTCAAAGTTCTATGTTCAAAACTGAGTTCCTGGTCATCCACTTAAAAGGTTGTTCCCGCCAGAGTTTTCTCCATCTCAGTGAAAGACGACTTCATCCTTTCAGTTATTCAATGAAAGCTCTTGTAGTCATCTCTTAGGCCTCCCTTTCCCCCACACCTCATATACCAAACCATCAGCAAATCCTGTCATTGCACTTCAGGATACAGGCACACCCAGCAAAATGTCTCTCTAGTTAACATGTTCCTCACAGAATGCCTCTTGGTTTTTAATACCCAACCCTGGTAGCCAGCCTTCAAGATGGTTCCCAGTAAGCCTCAACTCCTGGTGTTCATGCTTTTGTGTACTCCCCTCCCACACCGACCAGGGCTGATCTAAGTAACCAGTAGGACAACATGAAAATGATAATGTGTGACTTCTAAGGCTAGGTCATAAAAGACACTGTGGCTTCTGCCTTACTCTCTTAGATCACTCTCTCTAGATGGAGCCATCAGCCATGTTGTGAGGCTACAAGCAGCCATACAGAGAGAACCTCATGGCAAGAAACTGACACCTGCAAGCAGCCAGTACCAAGATGCCAGCCTTGTGAGTGAGCAACCTTGGCAAATTGTCTCATCCCAGTCATACCTTTCGATGACTGGAACCCTGTGAGACCCTGAGCCTGAACCATCAGCTAAGCTCCTTTCAAATTCCTGGCCCACAGAAACTGTATGAGATGATAATATTTGTTGTTGCTTTAAGCTGCTAAATTTGGGGATAATTTGTTATGCAGCAATAGATGACTAATACAACAAACGTGTATTGATTCAGCTTCTGTTTATATTTTTTTAAATGTATATTTACAGCATCAAAACTTGATCTGTGGGCCGGCCGAGTGGCTCAGTTGGTTAAGAGCTCGCTCAAGAGTGAGCACTCTGAAAAACAGGGTCGCCAGTTCGATTCCCGGCCCGAGCTTAGCTGCCGCTGAGCTGCCAACAGGTGGCAGGATGGCTCAACTAAAAACAAAAACCAAAAAAACTTGATCTGCATTTTTAACAAAGTAATAGGCATTTAAAGCCTTAAATTCCATTCCAAACAGAGCTAATGGAAGATCACTGAGTGCCCACAAAAGGGGCTTACTTGCATCATAGCTGCTGCAGACATCTGAAGAGGCCATGAAACTGGATCAAGGCAACAACATTGCTTGATCAGGAGGGAATATTTTAAGCATTTTATATCCTAATGCTATCATTTATTAGGCACATATCAGGTATGTATTTCCCCTGTGTTTTAGTACCATTTTAGAAAATTGGGGATTTAGGGTTGATGAGGGAAGTATTATACCTTTTCCCATTTAAAATAATGAAAAACAGACACTAAGTTAGTGATTCCAGACAGAAGGTCCAACTTTTGTAGAACGGATTACTGATGTTAAGTGGGAAATGTCTTTATCAAGAATCTGACTATTTCTCATCACCTCCCACACTACCACACTGGTCCAAGCCACCATCATCTCTCTAGTCTTCTCACCCATCTCCCCACTTCTGCCCTTGCCCCTGCAGTCTCTCCTCACATCACTCAAAGTGATCCTCTTGAAACAGAAGTCAGGTCATGTAATTCCTCTGCTCAAGACTCTGTAATGGTTCTACACCACTCAGTGAGAACGCCAATTTCCTCACAGTGGCACACAAGGCCCCCTCTACCCACCCTCCCCCATCACATACTTGACCTCATCCATCTCCTGCCCTTCTCCCCCCTTGTTTGGCATTAGCCCAGCCACACCGACCTCATGGCTATCCTTAGGTATAATGTAAATCCTGAGCACTCCTTCACATCTGAACTTTGCCCTTGCTGAACTTCCTGTCTGGGCCACACCTCCCGGCTTTCCCCTCACCCTGCACCACACCTGTTCCACTGCTTGGGCTAGATATCTACCTGACTCACTTCCTTCATGTTGCTGTTCAAGTGTTACCTCGTCAGAGAGGCCTTCCTGCAGTGTCCTTGATTCTTACCCCCCTTGCCCCGCTTTAGTGTTCTACATGGAAGGTCACCCTGTGATAGGCCACAAATTTCAAAATACCAGCTCCACACTGAGGAGGAGTTTAATCAACATTAGCCACATAAGTAACTTTGGGAGGGAGAAGGGGGAAGGGCCTAAAGAACGCCCAAGGGCCGGCCGCATGGCTCAGTTGGTTAAGAGCTCGCGCAACAGTGTGAGCTCTGAGCAACAGCGGTTCGATGCCTGGCCCGAGCTGAGTTGCCGCTGAGCTGCCAACAGGTGGCAGGATGGCTCAGCTAAAAAAAAAAAAAGAAGGCCAACTTATCATGTAGCCCCTGGCCCCCCGCTGTGGGGAAGACTTGTCCTTGCTAGTAGTCAAGTGTTCAGGAACAACGGCTCTGGAGTCAGAGGGACCTGGACTTGCCTGGTTTGGTTTTATAAGTCTCAGCTTTCTCATCTATAAAATGAGGATAATAATAGTACTGATTCATTGGGTTGTGGAGGATTAAATGAGATAATCCATGTAATCTGGTTACAAGTGCACAGAGTAGGTACTTGTACACCCAGCTGCTGTCATTCGCATATCATGATTATTCTTAGCATTCACACCATGTATAGTTGTACTTACACATGGATCCAGTGGACTCTGCCATGTAAATCAGTCCTTGGAGAGTTTGCTCACCCTGAGCCAGGCCCTGAATAAACTGGCCTGGGACAATGTGCTTCTGACCTTGTGAAGCGAGGTGGGCTCTGGCCTGAAGTGACCCATCTGCAATGTTGGGCCAAAGAGCTGTCTGTGAGACTAGGGGTGGGAGTTCCTCCAGGCTAACTGGCTATTATTCATGGGCCCTGGAGTTGCAAGAACAGATCGTTCGTTCTCTCCTGCTCCTGGATGTTTCTCCCAAGTTGAACTCCTTGGTCTGCCACATGCCCCTGCTCTGTGGCTTTGCACCTCCAGTTCAAAGACCCAAACAAAGTCTACAGCAACATACCGGATGTCCTGAGGGCCCACTACCCACTGATCCCTTGAGGACTTCAGGTGACTGAGCCCAGCCTGGTTGAGTGGTACCCTACATGCTACCCATATGGAGTGGGGGCAGGATCACTGGCATGGGCTAGTTGATGCCTCCTTCACCACAGTTCCCCTGCCACCTGAGATCATGCAGCATCTCAGCATCTCCAAGGCCAATCTGGGGACCCAGCCAGAAGCCTTCATGAAGCAAACAGTTCTCTGGACACTTACTCTGGAAACTAGGCAGGGAGGTGAGTGACTCACAGCAAAACCCACCCCAAACCCCACTGGAGCCACAATCTGTGTAGCTGATGCTCCTGGGAGGCTGAGCCTCAAGGAGTTAAACAAGAGAGGTCTTTTGGAACTAGTCCCAGATGCTCCCTTGGAGCCCATTCCTAGGCAGCCTCTCTAGAAGCACCCAGGGCTTGCTACTTTCCCTAAAAGTGCTCCGCTGTGACCTGAGTAATGCCACCAAGCAGGTTGGCTCAATCAGCCCTTCTAGTGTATACCTCCCTCCCTCATATGCCCGCCCTGAAGAGGGGAGGACCTTGCAAGAGCCCCTCCCTACACCTCCCTCTTCCTGCTTAAACAGTGCTCCATTCAGCCTTGACCCTTGGGGTCAAGGGAGCGTGATGCCAGGATCCATGGATATGTGGCAGACAGGGCCCAGGTGAGGCTGTGCTGTACCTGCTTCAGCAGGATGCCTACTCCAGGCTGAGAGCATGGTCTGGTACTAATCACTGCTGGTAGCCACTGTCCTCTCTGACAAAGGCTGTGCACCCTCCCCTAGCAAACTCCAGCCCAGAAAGGGTGGCTCATCCGGTATGAGAGGCAGCCCGGTGATTTCAGCAGAGCCAGGGCACCCTTGAGAGCAAAGTTCCAAGCACCAAGACACTTTCAGGAGGTGACCTGCTCAGCCAACAGTCACCTCTGCCAATCTTAGAGAGGATCTTGATGGCTGAATTTGTGTGCGTTAGGGGGCGGGTCCTACCTGGCCACTGCCCCCTACAGGACTTTGCCGTCCCAGCAAAAGGATGGGTTCCAGGCCTCTTCTTTTGTATTCCCCAACTAGGGGCCAGCCCACTAAGGGACCCAGGGACACCCGGTCCTCCTACCGCAAATAGCAGCGTAGAAGGCAGGGGCCCCCAGTCTCCAAGCCCCTCCTTCCAAGGATGACAGCTCTCCAGTCTCTCGGCGGCCACAGGCCACGTGGGTTGGCAGTCGGACTCACCTGTTCCTCCGGGGGACTTAGGACGCACAGATTGCCAGTCACTGCCTTCTGCGGGACCTCCAGGAGGACACCGGTGTCCGGCGGGGCCCGGACTCAGGGCGCAGGTTCGCGGGACCACCGCACCCTGCGGACGCAGACATGGCCACAGCGCAGGCCCCCGCCTCTCCCACTGCCCCTTGCCCGGCCGCGGGCCCAGGAAGACAGCTTTCACCGGCCTTTCGCGGCAGAGGCCCGGCTCCAGCCGCTCTGCCCGGCCCTGCCCGTCCCCAGGGTGCATTATGGGAAATGTAGTCCGCCGCCCGCGGTGCCTCGGGGTGGGGGCAGCCGGGCGCAGGGTTCTGACCTGAGCGGGAGTCGCCTCACTCGGCGTCGCCTTTTCCAGCGTCCCCGCGTGGACCAGACTCCTTGGCCCCTCCGCCCTAGCCAACTAGAGGTTTACTCCAAGGGAGAGAAAGACGTTGGTTTGCATTATTTCCTTCACTGATTGTGGAAAGACATTGCAAGTTTGGGGAGCTGGATAAATGTAATTAGTAAGCCCGGCCACACTGGCTGTAAAGGATGTAGGCACACCAAAACATCGTTTTAGACACGTTTTAATATAATAGTATGAGGCTCTATGACAGTAATTCTAAAATTTGTCTGCATAAAGAATGACCTGGGGAACTTTAAAACAACAGCAACAACAACACTAATACTGGGACACCATGCCTAGGGAATTTGATTTAATTGGATTGGGATGGGATTTAGGTAACAGTATCATTTAAAAACCTTCCCAGGTGATTTGCCAGGGCAAGGAGCCATTGCTAAGAATTTGTAATTTCCTATATGCAAAGCAATAAAAACAGGAAAATATAAAGTTTCCCCAAACGATTTTATTTTTGGAAAACAGTTTAAAAGATGTAAAATTAGGGATTAACAACAATACAGCTCATGTTTTCTCTGAAGCAATTAAATCACTTTATAGCCTCATGGTTAATTCACCCACTGTTTCTGGGATGAAGGAGAAAGTCTGAAATCACTCCTTTGATTTTCCCTGCTGTTCCAAGCCTCCCGATGCAGTGTCTTGTCCCCATCTCAGCCTTACACTGGAATTGGGGTAGAGCTCTGCCCCTGGGCTTTTCTCGTGGTCTCAGATGGTTGCCATGTGGCACCTACCTCAACACTGGCCTATGACTGACATGGTGAAAAGCTGTGGCCTTTTACCAGAGATGGCCTTGCACAGGGCTATTGGACCCTTGCACATAATTTAAGGGAAGCTTTCTCCTCTTTTTTAGGTAAGAACATGTGAGACAATGCCCAATTCTTTATCTATTCCCCTGGAAAGAAGAGAGGAGGATGGGAGGAGAGTCTCTCCAGGTCTCCATAGGCCACTCATCATTTTCTTTCTTCACTAGCTCAGGTGTCCATGCTCCCTCTCTTAGGGTAAACGTCATTTATATAGTTTTGCTCTCATTAATCCTGCCATTATAAGAGTTTCAGTCAAGAAGATCTCATATCTTCTGGTTGGTATAGAAATATCCTGGCTATAATCCATTAACCAAAAGTTGTACCCCTAGAATTGATCCCCGTGGAAGACACGTTTAAAGTTTTCTAACATACCTAATCAGTCTCCTTGACAGTCTCCATTCTGACCTCAGGGTTTCTTTGAGTCTCTTGCTTTCAAGCACAATGGCTCCACTAGCTAGCACCATAGGGAAGTATTGCATCTACTTAGCCAAGCAAGTGGAGATTATATATATATATATATATATATATATATATATATATATATATATATATATATATATATATATAATCGTCTTCCATGTGCTTCTGGCTAAGACTTGTGCCTAGGACACTCTCATGGAGCTGTCGATGTAAGAACCGTCCAAACCTGCAGAGAGCTTTTATAAGAGTTTGAGCCCAAACTGATGACACTTGCAGGGAAGCAAGATCTCAAAGGCTCTGGAGAGTGAGTTTTGCAGTTTCTTTTATGCATTTGGTATTAAGGAGTGAATGTATGGAGGTGGGAGAAAGCAAGGCAGGGATTGTTTTATAGGATAGTTAAGATTATGAGCTCTCTTGATGGTGGTTAAGTTTATTTCAAAGGTATGTTAATTAGATGCACAAAAACAATGGACAGGGCTTGCTAAGACAAAGATAAGCCTAAAACAGTTACATGCCTCAGGCATGACTGCCCACAATGATCTGCCCAGTTAGTAATTTATGATCAGATGACCCTTGTGAGGTTATTTTTGTTAGAACCCCTTTTTCACCCACAGAACAAACCATTGTGGCTACTTACTAAAACATTTTAAGGTTATGATTTAAAACTCCATTTTAATCCACCTATTGAATTATATTTGAATATTGGGACGACCCTTTCCTTCACTTTTTGCTAATAGGATTACCAAGAAATAAATCTTGGTCTTTTGGAATAATAAATGTCAATCCCAGGAAGGCTCTGCTGCCCAGTGTGATACTGCTTCAAACTTTGGGCTTTGCCACAAACAACATTACCTACCCTGTGGTCTTCCAGGTGGGGGGCACCTCAAAACCTTAGTTTTTTGTTTTGTCTAGGCCTGTGATTTTCATGAACCCAGCATATCATCTCCACAGACCTCTTATTCTTCCCAATATTCTTTTCTTTCATAGCTTTAGTAGACATTCCAGAACCTGAGGTACTGTGAAAAGATTGTGGCTAAAGTAAAAAGACCAGATGGTATCCTGAGGCTTGTATCTGTCCCCAGCCCTGTTGCTATCTTGCTTGCATGACCCCGGGGACAAATCCTTTGACTCTCAGTATCTTTAGCAGTTTCCCCCTCAAACACAAGATATCTAATGTGAAGTATTCTGAGCTAATAATAATAGTCCTTCCCTGGACATTTTGAAGAGGTTTTCCTTCTTGCCTTAGTTACTCTGCAGCTCCTGGTAAGGCAACTGATTTTCTTGTTGTGCTGCAAAATTTCATCTGTGGTCTTTGTATCATCTCTCTCTCTCCTGGTTCCTGTTTCTCATTTTAACACTTGATTAAATCTCTACTTTCGATGCTGAAGAGCTGTGGCCCCAAATGAGACTGAGGCAACAAGGAACAGGTGGGATAATGTCTCTCTTTGTTGGGTCCTCCCCTGTGAGGATGTAGGGGCTGAAAGTGAGCCCCCCTACCCTATTGGACCCAGTTCTCCCCATTCCAGGCGAGGACACTGCTTTGGGTCAGCTCTTCTAAACAGCTCATACTTCCTGGCCTTAGGCAGTAAAAATAACCTTACAAGTACCATGGGCCCATGTAAGTAAAAACAAAACAAAACAAAAAACAAACGAAAAAACCCAGATGCTTCCTTTGAAAATCCTCAATGATTACCTTAATGAAAAAGGTAGTCAGGAGATGAGCTTGGAGTAGGACTAATCCAGGTTGGTTGGAATTGCCCCCTCTCTACTTTCCTGCTGTGGGCAAATTACTTAATCTTTCTGGGCTTTGGTTTTCTTTTTTATGTTTTTTAATTAAAGTTTATTGGGGTGACGATGGTTAGTAAAGTTACATAGGTTTCAAGTGTATAATTCTGTAATACATCATCTATATATCACATTGTGTTTTCACCACCCAGAGTCAGTTCTCCTTCCACTGCCATATATTTGATCCCGTTTACCCTCATCTACCACCCCCTTTCCGTCTGGTAAGGGATTTGATTTTCTTAACTGTAAAAGGGTATATCATATGGTTGTGAAGGTTGTGAAGATTAGATGAGATAATGAAATGCCAGCCCAATGCCAGTCATATAGTGTGATTAAGGATAGTAATTATTACCCAAAGACATGGAGTATAAAGGCCAGGCTAATTAGTTCCTTAATACTTTAGAGGATAAAATACTATCTGATAAAGGAGTGATGCACCAATAATGCCCCAGTTTGGGAAGCAAATTACCTACAGCTCTTTGTAACTGTTCCTCCTCTTCCCAGCAACCTCTTAGTGCTGTTGTGCCCCAGGTCTCAGGGCTTTCACTCTGCTCTCCAAACTTCTCATTCTAGATCATGGCTTTAGATACCAGCACTAGGACAGCTTGACACCGCCCACATTTGCATTTCTAACTCTGACCTTTACCCTGAACTCCAGGCTGATGTATCTAGCTGCCAACTCCAGGTCTACTAGGCATGGAAAACTCAACTTACCCAAAACTAAGCTCCTGCTCTTTCTACCAAAACTGCTCCTCCCACATTCTTTCCTCATCCCAGTCGTCTCCTGTTTCCACTGTGATCACACAGGTACAAGTACCATCCATCTGTGGTTGTATTATTGCAATGGTCTCCTACACAGATGCCCTACTTCTGCCTTTCCCACCTTCAGCCTATTCTCCACACAGCAGCCAGAGGGATCCTATTTACATGGAAGGCAAGTCATGGTATTATTCTATTTAGAGCCCTCCAATAGCTGTCCATTTCCCTCCTTACAGAAACCAAACTCATCTCAGCAGACACTGTATATCTTATTTAATTCGCTGTCTCCGATAACCACCCCCAAACCCATCTCCATTATGGCAGCAAAGTTTATTAGCTTTTTTTTTTTTCCTGTATCCCCTGTACCTGATACAGTGCTTGGCACACAGCAGGTGCTTCATACAGTTCTTGAACCAAGAAATGAGTTCTAGACAAGATGCCTAAAAAGTGGGAAGGTAACTTTAAAGACTACTTAACCCAACAACCTTCTTTTTCTATAGATAAGGTTTGCTTTATTTTAGAATGCTTTATAGGTTTTTCTTGCAGCAGACTTCTTTGATCTCATGATGATCAATTTAGGCTATTAAATCAGGTTACTTTCCCTAAGGGTCCACTGACAGGGACACCAGGTGGCTGGAATCAGCCAGCATTTCACCGTGGAGGCAATCCACCTGGAAGCCTGGAGCTGGCCGTTTGAAGAACATCAGCTGGAAGGAGACTGTGGAAGTGAGCTGCTGCGAACTGAAAGCTGTGATGCCCCGATTTCCACTAGATTGCTGATTTGCAGATAGCTTCCAATACCTGTGACCTCGCCCAAGTCACTCTTGGCCAGATTTATTGCCTGAGAGTTAATAAGCAAGGCCCTGTGGAAGCTGGTTGCATTTTCCTTCATAGGTAGGGCTGCTGAACCTTTAACATAGCTAATATCCGCCTGGTATTCTTCACCTGGGGATGCCTAGCTTGGAAACCCATCAGAAGGAAAAAGAGACGAACCTCTGTGACTACTGCTTCTCTAATTCAAGTACTTCTCTCGCACCTATCCTCGGTCTTGGGCAAAAGGGCTAAGCTCCTGGGCTGGAAGAGGCA